TACTGGCTTATGTATTTATTATACTGTACTTTTCATTGTTATTTTACAGTGTACTCCTTCTACTTATTAAGAACAATTTATTGTAAAACAATATGTGGCGGGGTGCAGCAGCCCACTCCTATAACCCCAGCACTTTGGGAGGCTGAGGCTGGAGGACTGCCTGAGACCAGGAGTTTGAGACCAGCCTGGACAACATGGTGAGACCCCATCTCTATAAAAAAACATGTTTAAAAGTTAGCTGGGTGTGGTGACAAATGCCTGTAGTCTCAGCTACTCGAGAGGCTGGAGTAGGAGGATCTTCTGAGCCCAGGAGGTCAAGGCTGCAGTGAGCCCTGATGGTGCCGGTGCACTCCAGCCTAGATGACAGAGTGAGACCCTGTCTCAAAAACAAAACCAAACAAACGAAATACTGGGTTATCCCAGCAGTATAAACGTGTCTTGTTTACTGTGCCTCTTGATTGCATTATTTTCTCTTGTGCTTCAGTTAATCTCGTGCTGCTTTGTTCATCACGGTCCCTGAGCATACAAAATCCATGGCTATTGTTGCCGGTAAGAGGCCAGCCACATCAAGTGACTGATCTTGAAACAAGAGATTAAGGACTACCAACCAATGGATCAAGGAGTTATAGCAGGTTTTGAGGCCCACTGCCTGAGGAAGAGAAGCTTTGCTCAGGTTATTACCGCAACAGAGGAAGACACAGAGAAGACGCTGATACAATTCTGAAAGGATTACATCTATGACTCCATCAGGACCCTTGCTTGGGCTTGGGGTGATGTTACCAAGGAATGTATAAATGACATCTGGAAGAAGACACTCAAGAGGCTCATCCGTGACTTCGAAGGATTTGCCAAGGACAAGGAGGTTGCAAAAAACAACAAGGCTGTGGTTGAGACGGCAAACAATTTTAACCTGGGGGTGGAAGAGGATGACATTGAGGAGCTCCTACGGGTGGTTCCTGAGGAACTGACTAATGAGGAGTTGTTGGAACTGGAACAGGAACACATACCTGAAGAAGAGGCAAGGAAGAAAAAACTGCAGAAGAAAAAGAATCGCCATGAAAATGCACAGTGAAGAGTTGAGAAGTTTTTGCAGACCTCAGTCAGTGCCTTAAAAATTTTGAAAACATGGGCCCCTCAACACCAAAAGGGTTTCATTAACAGAGACGAATGTTCTTTGTGCATTATCTGCTTACAAGCAAATCTATGATGAAAAAGGAAAGCAAGCCAACTACCATGGACATATTTCTGATGCATGACAACTCGTAAGAACCTCAGGTAGGTCCTTCAGGAAGTGTTCCAGAAGAAGACTCCTAGCGCCTTGTTATCCTAGCTCCATGCATTTTTTTTTTTTTTTTTTTGAGTCAGGGTCTCACCTTGTCACCCAGGCTGGAGTGCAGTGGTGCAGTCACGGCTCACTGCAGCCTTGACTTCCCGGGCTCAAGTGATCCTCCCGCCTCAGCCTCCTGAGTAGCTGAGATGACAGGTATGTGCCACCATACCTGGCTAATTTTTGTATTTTTTGTAGAGACAGGGTTTCACCATGTTGCCCAGGCTGGTCTTAAATTCCTGGGCTCAAGCGATCTGCCTGCCCCAGACTCCTGAAGTGCTGGGATTACAGCCGTGAGCCACTGGGCCCAGCTGTCCCTGCGTGTTATTGCCCCTGAAGACCTTCCAGCAGGGCAAGATGAGGAGATGGGAGACAGAAATATCCATGAATCTGACCCTTTGTAGGCCTAGGCTAATGTGTGTAATTGTGTCTTAGTTTTTAACAAAAAAGTTTTAAAAAAATTTAAAATACAAAGAAGTTTGTGGAACAAGGATATAAAGAAAGAATATATTTTTATACAATTGTACAATTAGTTTGTGCTTTAAGCTAAGTGTGATCACAAAAGAGTCAAAAAGTTAAAAATTTTTTTAAATTTATATAGTAAAAAGTTATAGTAAGCTAAGGGTAATTTATTATTGAAGAAAGAAAAATATTATTTAAAAATTTAGTGTAGCCTAAGTGTAGAGTGTTTGTAAAGTCTATAGTAGTGTGCAGGGAATGTCCTAGGCCTTCACGTTCACTCACCACTCACTCACTGACTCAGCTTCCAGTTCTGCAAGCTGCATTCATGGTAAGTGCCTTATACAAGTGTAGTTTTTAAATCTTTTATACTCGATTTTTACTGTACCTTTTTAATGTTTATATACATAAATACTTGCCATTGTCTTACAACTGCCTACGGTATTCAACACAGTAACGTGCTGTGCAAGTCTGTAACCCTAGGAGCAACAGGCTAGACCATATCGCCCAGCTGTGTAGGAGGCGGTATCATCCAGGTTTGTGTAAGTACGCTATGATGTTCGAACAAGGACGAAATTGCCTAATGATGCATTTCTCAGAACATATCTCTGTTGTTGAGCAATACGTGATTGTATAATGTGAGACGACATTTGCAAAAACACTCATGTCCACTAAACCCCTGGGCAGGGGTGTTGTCTGTGTTCTAAATTATGGTGAGGGCTGGCTACTGGTTGCACTCCCATAATCCTAGCATTTTGGGAGGCTGAGGCGGGAGGGTGGCTTGAACCCAGGAGTTTGAGACCAGTCTGGGCAATACAGTGAGACCCTAACTTCCAAAAAATGAAAGAAAAATTAACTGGGTGTGGTGGCACGTGCCTGTGGTCCCAGCTACTCGGGAGGCAGAGGTGAGCAGCTTGTTTGAGCCCAGGAAATTATATCAGTGGGGCGTGTAGGAGAGAGAGGGAGGCCAATGTGTGACGGCTAGCCCATACCTCTTTCTGTGACCGCCACTCCTGCAAACCAGGTAAATTCTCAGTTCAGCTTAGCAAACATTCTATGAGCACGTACCATGGACAAGCCCTTCTCTGGGTTCTAGGGTACATCATTTCACATGCTGGCTCCTGCCCCAAGACACTCACTGATTACGGCTCTCTGGGGAGGGAGTGCTATTTACACAAATGCGAACTGGTCTAATATCATCCAATAAAAACTCAAAAGATCACCAAGCAGGGGGGGGGAAAAGCACAACCAGACACCTTAACACAGGGAGAGGAAATTTTGTTTGTTCAGCATTTATTAATTGCACACACAGCTCTGTCTGCAGACTAGACACTGAAACACACAATTGTCAAAAACTAGAAAAACGAGTTATGTCCACGTTTTAAAAAAGCAAAACTTTATAAATTCCTTAGCACACTCATACCCAAGTTTTATCCCACAAAGTACAGCATGAAACAATGACAACATAAATATCATTCAAGTAAAATGCTATTTAAAATAGCTGCATATAGGTAATTAAAACACTAGGATCCAGTTTTTAGAGGAAAAAGTCATGTGGCACAATTTCAAGTTCCTAATTGAAGTTAACAATAAAACAGATTTGCTTACATTTGCTTCTGATCTTTATTTCTGCTGTGTCTCTTTAGTAGAATAAAGAAATGGCACTTCACATAAAATCATATTTAAAAGCTACTAAAATGCATGAACAGATGCAGATCAGCTCTTTAATGAGAATCCCTGCATAGCTGGAGGAAGTTCAAGGAGAACTGTTTTTTCAAGGCCAATAGAATCTTGTCATATGCCTAATTTCATCTACATTATCATCGCTGGGAAGTTCCTGCTGAGAACTCATGGTAGCAATGCTGGAAAAGTACTTTCTTCACAGGAGGTGTTCAGTAAAATGCAATAATGCCTGATAAATGCAAGTAATGTCAATATCTCCCTCTTGGTCTAGATCAGGAGCTGGCGAACTTTTTCTTTAAGGAGACAAGTAGTAAATACTTTAGGCTATAAAGTAGCCTAAAATTTTGCAGGCTATACTGTCCCTGTCCCGACTCTTCAACTCTGCCAAGAAAGCAGTCCCAGACCATATCATAAATGAATGGGTGTGGCTATGCTCTAATAACATTTTATTTATGGACACTGAAATCTGAATTTCATAGAATTTTCAGGTGCCATGAAATATTGTTCTTCTTTTGATTTTCTGCCCAATCGTTTGAAAACATATAAACCATTCTTAGTTCACGGGTTACATAAAAACAGGTGCCAGGCCAGGTTTGGTTCGTGGGCCATAGTTTGCCAACCCCTGATCTAATGGTCCTTTTCTACTCTGTGTTGTAAAATGTATATATTTTTAAAATCCCATTACATATGGCTACTTTATTTAAAAATAAAAATGTTCAGTTAAAAACACTTCTCTTTCTTCCCACAACCAATGACCATTTTACTAAACAATAAGCTATTTCCTTTAATTAGAAAATCGATCAAGGATATACAATGAGTCTCTGGCCTCAATTTATGAACCCATGAGTCAAATATGCAAGAAGACTCAAAACGTGCCACCCAGCCAAAGAATCTACTGGCTTACAATGTTAAAAATTTATTTAGAAGTATTCCTGCACATTTCTCAGCATTGGTAATCCAGTTATAAAAAATAATGTTGGAGCATTTATATTCTTAATAGAAAAAGAATGGATATATCTAAATCATAAGTAATTAAAATGTTATATAAAACCACCTAAAAACTATACAAATAAAGAGCAGACATTAACTGCCAAAATGCTGAGTATGTGATTCTTGACAGGGCCAGGGCAGTGTCACTAGGAAGAATTTCAGCTCTTCCTTCTCCTTGAGACCTTGGGGATGTGGCTAGTACACCCCAGGCCAGATGCTAGGCAGTTTCCTGTGTGCACAGGGACTTGCCAGACCTTTAGTTACTCAACCATAGCTTCCCAGTGGCTCAATGAGGGATGTTACATCCTAGGTGGGGTTCAGGAGGAATTGCATCTAGCATTACTTTCATTCACATTTTCCTTCCACAACCCAGAATAACCACAAGATGTAAGTGGAGTCTACACAGAGAGAGATGGGGAAAGGAAGGTGCTTCATCTCCACCTACTTGGCCGCCTAATTGGATTTGCATCTGTTTAAGATTACAGAGTCTTTCTTTCAAAGTGAGAGGCAATGCCCGTCATAGGGGCTTTTTTGTGTGTGTGTTATTTGAATGATGAGCTATAAAAACTCTTATTAGATAAAAGGTGCCTGAAATTCAAGGGCTCATGCCTCTTCTACAAAGTGGATTGGCAATTACAGAAATTCTTTCCCTTTTGGGCTGACTGTGGTGAAAGTGCTTTTGCTCTTTTGGAGGTAAGGAAGCAGCACCACACTAGGACAGAAAGAACAGGCTGCAGGTGACAGCCACTTACTCAGGCTCAGGTGGGTGGGCAAGTTGGCATTGGCCTCCTCCCATCTTGGCAAAGCCACTGACAGTAGGCAAGGAAGGGCTGGGCAGTGCTGCTCGTAACAGTGGCTCTTGTATGTCCTTAGAATTTTCATTTTTTTGTGAAGTGCTTTTACTTTCTCTCTGGCTCACAATATCGCAGGGAGCTAAGTAAGGCCTGTATGGTATCTCCACTGTATGCATGGGATGGGAGGTGCTCAACACACACCCAGGGCAACAAGGCAACAAGGCCACTTGGGGAAGGAGCCAGGCCACGCCACTGCGTGCCTTCCATCCTACCAAGCTGCTTCTGCTATTCTTTGCTTTACACTTCAGCTCATTTCCTCAAGGAAACGAAACAAAGTGGTGAACAGGACAGAAATGAAAATAGAATTCTTTAAGCGGTAAATTTAGGACAATAAAGATGTCAATTAAAAAATGGTTCAGGAATAGGAAGAGGTGCTTCTTCATGCCTCACAGAAGCACAGACAATTCTGTGCTATTTATTGTCTTTGAAAGAGGGTTCACTCAAACCTCTGCCGCAACACCTCTAGAAGCACATTCGGTGCCTTCAGTGCCGAGCTGGCAGATGCCGGGGAGGGGTGCTGTGCCCCTCACCTGCCTGCCAGTCACAGTCAAGGGTCTCCTTCAAGGTGCTCTGGGTCCATGTTCTGTAGCGACGTTGGGGATGGTTGTGTCACTGCCTGGGCAGTGATCAAGTCTTTGTGACAGCCCAAGGGGCTGGGCCTGCCTCGTGCTGTGCCTGCTCTGAGGCAGTCGGGGCTGCGGTGGGGAGCCAGGGCCTCATTCTGTAAACCCAGTGCTGGTTCTCCGGGAGTCTGCAGTCACAGGCATGTGGCATATATTGGTCCCTAGTTAGGTTAAGGGCAGGGGTAGGATTTGCATCTGTTTAAGATTACGAGGACTGGATGAGTTTTGAAAAATTCACAATTCTGAAAACCTATTAGTTTATTTAAAATAATGGATGGCATGTACCTATATATGTAGGTAAGTCTCCTTTTAACTTTTTTTAAAGAACCAAAGAATCCTACAAGCCCCCATAACACACATACTTGAGTTCCAGATACTCATCAATGCCATACTTGGACCCCTCTCGCCCAAGGCCAGACTGCTTCACTCCACCAAAAGGGCACTCCACGGAGGAAATCAATCCTTCGTTGACGCCAACCATGCCCACTTCCAGCTGCTCTGCCACTCTCCAGATCTGGGCTGGGTCTTGAGAGTAAAAATAACCTGTCATAGGGATAAAAGGCATTTAGACAAGTCATTAAAGACATCCTGTCTAAAGATGAGGGCACCACTGATGACTTTTTGTCCAGTCACTTGGGCCTGGAGTCTTCCCTGCTCCCACGTAAAGTCCCAGGTTGGTCTTGTCCACTTTTTCATCTCAAAACCTTTGAAAATCACCTCTTGCTTCAAATCTACTCTCACTATCTCCTATCGAGACCCTCTTCCTGTTTTCTACTATTCAACCCACCCTGCACACCTGTTAGATTTCCACATGACACTTTTGCCCAAGCCTTTTGATTACTCCTGATTGTAAAATAAGGTTAAAATCCTTAGTGGGTATTCAACACCCTCTTCCCCCCAAGTAGTTTCAATCAACATTTCTGGCTTCACCTTCCATTACTCCAATCACCAACCATCCTCTCCAAACCTGTCAGTCAAATTCTCTTCACCCTTTCTTACTTTGTTTCTGAACTCCCTTGGTACCCTCTGCCCAGCATCTCTCTCCTCCAATTTCTGCACAACCAGAATTCTGTCCATCATTTATGACCTAGTTCAGGGTACGTCTTCCTCCACCATCACCCCATCGAGAAGGAAGAGACAAATGGTGAACTCAGTGTTATAAAAGTCCTCATGCACACATCTTACTCCAGCTTTATGATAACTCTAAGGGACCCCATAGCATGCTTATCATTCCTCTTCATATAAATAGTTCTCTTACAGCTAGAGGGGAAGCTTCTATACAGTTATAGTGGTATCTTACATGTCTTTGTATCTTCTGCAGTACTTCATTTGCTGTGGATGCTATTACATAATTTTCTCAGGGTTATAGAGTACATACGGTGGTCACCTGGACCATCTCCAAACTAAAGGAATGGTAGCCATCAGTGAGGCACCTCTGCACGCACCATCTTCACTCCTTTCATTGTCCCTGACGCTCCTTGCTGATGCCCTTCCTCATCTGTTCCATTTCCCCAATAGTGGAATAAAATAAAAGTGGTCCATTTCCCCAATAGTGGAATAAAAATAAACTTCATAAGCAAGATGTAACAAGGTCAGTGAAGTACATAAGAAGAAAGATTTCTGGTCCTGGATAAGATGGTACAGACAGCACCAACTGCCAGCTGTCTCTGTGAACCCAAAGCTGGACATACCAAAATCTGTTCAGGCTTACGGGAGCCAGGCAAAAGTGAACAAAAAATCACTTGGAATTTCTGGGGGTTAAGCCTCTGAGAACGTGGGACTTTGAGATGTGTGCAGTTCTCCACCTAGAAAAGCAGAATAATGTGCACCTTCTCTTCTGCCTGCAGCTCTCCCTGCCCCACAGCTGTAATTAGAGAGCTCCCAAATGTGTATCATGGGGACAAGGCGAAAGAACATGTCCTTGCACAAATCCAAATCCATTCCGCCACTTGGAAAGAAACAAAACACATACCTCATTGAAGTTTCTGTCTCATAACCCAGGGTGATGTTTAAAAGGTAAACCTGGCATGAGCTGGAGAAAAATGATTATGACTGGTATTGAACAAGGACAAACACCTACCTGCTAACCCAACGTCAGTGGCGTTAGCGATTGCTATAGCCTCCTCCTCTGTATCGAACCTGCCAGAGGTAAGATAGGTCATAAAATATGTAAGGGGGAGAGGAAAGGAAACCAGTTTTCTTTTCTTCTGATTTGTTTCCCAAATAATCACAAGGAGTAAATCAGAGTTTTGCAAAGAGATCCAAGAACAGATTGCAGAAGAAAGCAGCACCATTACCCGAGATAACTCAGCGATCAAGGCTAGCATGCTCAAATCAATACTGGCTTCATCTTTCCTAAGAGAGCAAGAAAAAAGCAGACCAACATGTAGGGAACTGTGGCATATCCAGAACATCAAACAAAATTCCTTAAAAAAAAGGATTACTGTTCTTGGTACCCACTGAGAATATATAACACTAATAACAACTACTTTAGAAGCCAGCCTGATGTAGCAGAAAGAAAACGTTCAGAAGGGGTTGGGGCCAGGTTCTAATGTGTTCTCCACCACTGCTTAACAATGGCATGATGCTTGGAGTCTCCTCCTCTCTGAAATGAAGGAATGCACCAAAGCCCAGGACATCTCTTTAAAATTGTATTTCAGGAATAAGATGTCAGTGGTATTTTTCTGTTGTTCCAGAATTGTAACTGGGGCAAAAAGTTCTAAGCACCCCAATTTCTAAATTCAGAGATCTACCAGCGGTTGGAACCAGCTGTCTTTCTGCAGGGCTTGTAAAGGGGGACTAGGCAGAGCCAGCTCAGAAAAGTCAACTTGTCCAAAGGTACACAGGTATGAAGTAGCAAAGTTTAGAGCTACACCGTAGTCAACTCCAAACTGCATTCCCAACCAATGCCTCCCTTTGATTTCCTGTGAAAATGTCCAGTTCACATTTCATGTAAAAAGTTTTTATTAAAACAAAGAAGATGGATGTTCTTCAAGTGGTCCATTTCCCCAATAGTGGAATAAAAATAAACTTCATAAGCAAGATGTAACAAGGCCAGTGAAGTACATAAGAAGAAAGATTTCTGGTCCTGGATAAGATGGTACAGACAGCACCAACTGCCAGCTGTCTCTGTGAACCCAAAGCTGGACATACCAGAGGAGAGAGAAAGTGAATCATAGTCAAAACCAACAACAATAACAACAAAATCTCAATCGGCAACTAGCACCAAAAAATGCAAGACATTTCTAGAGACCAATAAATTGGTTGGATCCTGGGGGAGAATGATGGCCTCAAGTGAGAGTGAGCTCGAGACCACCCATGCAGGGGTGGGCGGGGCAAGGGCAGGGCTGTGCATCTCCCTCCACACCTGTGAGTTCCAGGTGATGCTGCCTACAAACCTGGGTCCCTGGATCAATGGGACATTGCTACAGGTAGAAAAGCGGCAGGGCTGGCTTGGGACAGTGAGCCAGGGCTCGTGCCCAGCAGGTACACCGGCCGTGGGAAACAAGTGCAGGCAGCGGCAACACCAGCACCCTCTTCTCCCCAACCTATTCCAACAGAGGGAACTGCAAAATACCCCAGGGGAAAGGATGCTTGGGGTGGGGAAGTGGCACCGAGACTGGATTTCAACACTAGAGGCGCCCTCCGCGAGGCTCAACCCTTTGCCCTCCAAATGTATGAGAAGGAGCACAAACCAAGGCCTAAGCTTTTTACCACAACCCACGGGAGATATTATAAGCCAATGCTGCCAATGGTGCAAGGAGTTAAAGATCACAGGGAAAATTACAAGACATCTGAGGAGCTCCAAGACTAAGAAGATAAAACAGCACAACCTGTGGTGGAAGAGAATAAAAATTTTTTTTAAAAAGGATAAATAGCCACAGCAAAGTAAGGGAGATTAATGAAGCAGGAAGAATCAGTTATGGGGAGGAACCCACTGGAGATATCAGGGATGGCAAAAACAATTGTTGAGATAAAGATCTTGGTGGGTGGGGTGGAAGCCAGAATGAGTGTATCTGAAGAATGCATTAATATGCTGGCACATGAGGGGAGGGACTCGCAGAAGGCACCAGGAATGAAGAGATGGAATGAAGAGATAAGATAAATAGGGCACAGAAGTAGAAGTATCACAATAATAGACTTCTTGGAAAGCTAGAAAAGGATACATGAAAGGGAGAAGAATATCTGGAGAAATAATGACCCAAAATTTCCCAGGCCTAAACAAACCTGTTAGATATTCATGAGCCAGGCACGGTGGTTCATGTCTGTAATCCCAGCCCTTTGGGATGCTGAGGCGGGTGGATCACGTGAGGTCAGGAGTTTGAGACCATCCTGGCCAACATGGTGAAACCCCGTCTCTACTAAAAACATGAAAATTAGCAGGGCCTGGTGGTGGGCGCCTGTAATCCCAGCCACTCAGGAGGCTGAGACAGGAGAATCACTTGAACCCAGGAAGCAGAGGTTACACTGAGCTGGGATTGCACCACTGCACACCAGCTTGGGTGAGAGAGCGAGACTCCATCTAAAAACAAACAAACAAACAAAAAAACCAAAACAAAACAAAAAACCATAATAAAGATATTCGGACCTCAACTGAAAAACCTCACTGTGTGCCACACCAGATAGTAAAATTTAAGAACATCAAAGATCAAGAGAAATTCTAAATGTTTCTAAAGAGAAAAACTAGATGCCTTTCAAAGAAGCAAGAATCAGATTTCTTGGCAACAACCCTGGATAAAAGTAGATAGAGGCCAGGCATGGTGACTCACACCTGTAATCCCGGCACTTTGGGAGGCTGAGGCAGTTGGATCATTTGAGGCCAGGAGTTCGAGGCCAGCCTGGCCAACATGGTGAAACCCTTTCTCTACTAAAAATATAAAA